GGCGTTGAAACCGTCTCGTCGAGAGCTTTTCGAAAATGTATCGTTTCATTTATGCATCCTCTTCGTAGTGGAGTAATCGAGCTTTCAAAATCGATCCAGGGGTGTGTTATCTTGTGTCATATATGGTATGTGTTTTGGTGCTGTATGTGCATCTTTTTGTTCTGTATGCGCGCCCGTTGGTTTTGTTGTACGTTGTTGTTGTTGTTGTTTCTCACATTAGCTCTAAAAAAAAAGATTGGGAGCCCGTGGTCTCAAAACCCGGCATACACGACCCCACGAAGAAACAGAAAAAAATAGGGTACAAAAACCACTCGGAAGAGAAACAAAATGATAGAAAGAAAGACCAGCTACCGCACCAAACGAGAAAGAGCGTCGAGGAGACCGATCAAAATAAAATAAAAGGAGAACGGGGAACGCTTCCCACACCCGCCTACAACGCCGGAGGGTTCCGTGCCGGGTTCCCGCCGACCAGGCATCCCCCGCCCTGCACCACACCCCAGGGGGTGCAGCAAGACGGGGGGCGAAAAACAAACACATATATATTCCCACAAAAAACGTACGTGTATGTATGTGTCCGGCACTCCAACATCACTCAACCCGTGGGGAGTCAGTATGCAGCTATCCCCACTCAACCCGTCCATGTGTCTGGCATTCTCAAACCTCACTCAACCCGTGGGGTTTCAGTATACAGCTATAATCACTCAACATGTGTATGTGTCCGGCATTTTCCAACATCACTCAACCTGTGAGGTTTTCGTAAGCAACCCTCACTCCACGCATCGATGCGTCGCGCGTCTTTGGTAGCGCATACTCTCGCCCCGGTGGTCTAGTGGGTAGCCTCGCAGCCTGTTAAGAGTCAGGTCATGGGTTCGAGTCCTGGCAGAGTGAGTTTTTTTCTCCATAATTCCTGGTCTAGGATGAAAGCGACGCGCTGCAAAGCTCGTTTGTTAGAAAACCATAATCGACTTCGTAAGTCGCGAGGAAAGGGATTCCTGTACCCTGCTCGCGATAAAAATGCCTCAGGCAGGAACCGCAGGAGGGGGTCCAGCCCCCCCCCTCTTATGTGACCCCGGTTGGGTCGTCTAGCTGGTAGAAGTGGAGGATAGGGGCCAGAGGGGCAGACGACAGAGTCCAATGATGGGAGAAAAACAACACAAAAAAAAACTACGGGGGTTATATTTGGGGCGGCGTGTTTTACAGCGCTTTGCCAACAGCGCTAACCCACTTAAGTCTAGATTGCGAGGGGATGAGCACGAGCCGGGGGGGGGGCGATTTAGCTCGCACAGCGAGCTTCGAGCGCCTTCGCACCGAAGCTCGCTGTGCTCGCGGGCTCGCTGCGCTCGCCGATGTATCGGCGTTACGATGTTTATAACATCGTATAACCCAACCGATTCCCAACCCTACAAATTGTATAATTGAAAAGCCAATAGTCTAATCCCTTCCATGTTTTTTTCTGTGTCGACAATGTATGTTCTCTGTGAATATTCAATATTGCTAAAAAAAAATCCTAGAATCGTACCAGTATCTAACAGACTACTGGCAAGTTGTCAAGGAGACAGTGCGCCGTGTAACTGTGAAGGTTAAACTTTAACAACAACACACGATATGACGGAGGGATTCTCCCCGATGTTATTGTCGTTTACCCAGTAGAGAACTACATACAGGGGATGTATTGCAATATGTAGGCTACCTTTACATAGTCTATGCTTTTGTACTTAACAACAGCTGGTATCACTGATATAAATCAGCAGTCAGTGTAGACTAGACTAAAGACTTAAATACTAATATAGCCTCGAAATATGTCCAGTACCCAGCCGGTTTCCCTGCACTTACTGAAAAGACGCCACCACATCCCGTTGGAATGTGGGGATACATATCTCGAACGGGTAGCCTCTCTGTGTGTGGATTTATTTTCCTAATATGCATATAACTTTTGAATTGAGGAGAAATAAACACACTCACAGAAATGCCGCGGTTCATCGTGGAATTATTTCTCCCGGGTAAGGCGTGAGGCCGGAAGCGTGAGGAGGCACGAGGGGAACACGACACTGGCTGCGTATAGAGCAATGTATTGCTGCATGGCGGCACAGAGCAAGGTTTGAGGACGCTGCTACCCCTGGTAACATTTAGGGTATCTCTTGCCGCGAGATGATCTGCACAGGACCACGCACGTGTGCGTGCATACACAACACAGGACTCACGGGATACCGCCAAATGTATCAGTACGTACGATTACGTACGTACGGACGGACGCGATGTAATTTTTTTTTTTCTTAATATGACACAACGAGTCCATCTTTATCATAGAAAAGAGTCAGAGACAGATTAACAATGGAATCATAGCGTCAGAGAAAACTACCTGTGTGTCTACGATTTCCCAGACAGCATACAGGGACATCTCCCCTGTGGGTAACAGGCTCAACAAATCAGTTTGGTAGCTGTCTTGTGTGTCTCATATATGTTATGTTGGGAAGGTGCAGACGAAATGTTAATTTTTAATTTTGGTCCATAGTTACGCCGCATTTCGGGCGGGACGAACATCACACCCTACACACACCACACAGCACACAGCCGCGTTGCTTGGCTACCTTCTGAAGAAACACACGCCAACCACGAAGGATATTGGCCGTACCTCGGGTTCAAGTTGAATTCCAGCACAACTCCTGCCCTGCGGGTTTGAAAGGGAGTGCGATAGCTGGCGGGAGGCAACGAACTGCGAATCAATGTGAGTGTGCACAAGTCTTCTGAAAGGGCTGCATTGGCTGTTCCCTACATGGAGCGAAGAGCTTCGGAAAGTGGTGGTGGGCGCGTCATCGAGTGTGTACTTCCATTCAGCAAGTGGTTGGAGAAAATCGAGTATGGCGTGGCGGCAACATGATGAAGACACAGAAAGAAAGCCCTTGCTGTGACCGGACGGCTCCCAAAATACAAAACACACACGTGTCGACGTATCATGCCAGCAGAGAGTCGTCCACTTCGACGCATAAAGATTCATTTTTTTTTTTTTTTTCCCTTTGGACAATTGCAGATGTACCTCAGAAAACTTTCACTTAATGTCTCATACTCTACATGAATATTAAACCAATACGAAGTACAACAACATATGTAGGACTTATTTCTACTGTCATTTACATCGTAAAATATCTCCTCTTCAACTTGAAATAAAACCAATGACAATCCTGATGGTATCCTATATGCGTTCGTAAGCTTCCTAAAATACTACTGCGTTGATGTCCTCTTGTAAAAGCTGAAATCCAACAAATGCTTTGATCCATGCTACATCTCCGTGTTGGAAAAGCCCTTTCATCTCCGTTCATGATAATATCTTACCCTATTCTACGCAAATCTGTCACATCTACTCTCAAACAAGACGCCAACTTCAAACGAAAACGCGTTCTACGATGCGTCTACACTCCATCCCCATATCATTGGCGTTGACTGGTCCGAGGTCGATCTTGTTCGCCTGTTTTCGGCATTCCAATATTGTACTTCCAAGAGATGGCTCTTCGAACACAGGGAATACAGCAGTTACCAATAATAGTAGTCTACCTGTTCGAGAAACACGACACAGCAGTCGAAAGGGATGTGTTGAAAGTGGTTTGCACCACATAGTTGGGGGAGAGAACCTGCGTACTGAGGGAGCATAGGGGACAGAGATTCGAGCGTGGGTGTGAAGACTACTGCTGATGTCGATTGCATTTTTCTACGGCTCATACTCACCAAGCCGTGCTACTACAGGAACATACGGAGACAAGCAGCCTAGTTCGCCTAGCGCCTATCATATCTACCAAGAGAGTACGGGGTAGTTACAGCAGTATCGATCAAAGCTCGAAATCAGTCTCATTAATTTGGAACAGGTCATTGACCATCATTCACATTGAACCAGCTACGTTGCAAACTTGCCCTTGCCGCCACTAGCGCTGCACAACAGGGAACATAGTCTCGCAAATCTACTCGTAGTCTTGGTCTTCTTCTTGTTGTAGGGCTGATTACGTTTGACTGGACCAATCGGCCACACGGGCTATAATATAGCGGCTGCTCCTGGGGTTTGCATGCGAAGATTGCGAAGATGACCCTGATGTGTGCGAGGTGTCTGCCATCTCTCGGGGATCTCCACAGCTTCACATTGCCAGCAGCGCCAGTGGTGATGCACGCCATGCGAGAGCGGGACACCAAAGCACCCCGAGGCCTCGGCAAAAAACCCGGGGATACATGGGTATATGTCCCCACCCCCCCACCCCAAAGGACCCCGAAGCGCCGACGCCTCGGCGGAAAACCCGGGGATATATGGGTTTATGCCGCCCACCCACCCACCTCCCGGTGTTTGACATCGGGGTTGGGTTTTCGTCGCTTGGCAACGACGTTGTGAAACAAGCCNGTGTTAAAATGGTCAAGCACCCTCGAGGGAGTTACATAGTGCTTTCAACTGTCTCTGGAAGTGAAAGCACCAGAAAATGAATTAAGTCATACGCAGCTGTCATCCGTACGCAAGGAAAGCGGGATGCAGCGCACCCTTCGTGCGACTCGCCGCAGCGCACC